AGGTCAGGAGTTCGAGAACAGCGTGGTCAATATGGTGAAACTTCATCTCTTCTTAAAAAATACAAAAAAAAAAAAAAATTAACCAGGCATGGTGACAGATGCCTATAGTCCCAGCTACTTGGGAGGCTGAGGCAGGAGAATGGTATGAACCTGGGAGGCAGAGCTTGCAGTGAGCTGAGATCAAGCCACTGCACTCCAGCCTGGGTGACAGAGCAAGACTCCGTCTCAAAACAAAACAAAACAAAATAAAACAAAACAAAACACAAAGCAAAACAAAAAACAAACAAACAAACAAAAAAACCCTCTCTTGTGTCTGTGATACTGTGACCTCTCTAGCATCATAGCAAATTATGGTACTGGTGTTGCACTTAGTCTTTCTGTGGTAGTGCAGATTCTGATGCACATTTATTGTCTTTGTTCAGAGAGATACCCAACCTACTTCTTCATTTCTATCAGTACTTGAATATAGGCAAGACAGAGGCTAGACCTTTGGCAGTCACCCTAAAGGTAAAAACATTGGACATAGGGAATTTAGATGCTTCCTCCCCACTGCATGACACAGTGTGGGATGGGAGGGTCTCTGGTGAGACAGAATAATGAGAATCATGATGTTTCTTTCCATGTTATATTTATGCTAACTTATTGGTGCAGAAACCTTGTAATTGGTATCTGGAGTTCCCACAAAGGCAGTTAGTTTATTTGTTGTTAAACCTGTCTTATGGGAGAATGAGGGTCCTAGGCTTCCTCTTCTGTCATTTGGCTGAAATCACTCCCTTTCACATTTTTCCTTTTTTTTTTTTTTTTTAAGATTTTGTTTGTTTGTTTTGTTTTGTTTTTAACATTTATACTAGCTTCGTGAGGACATGTACAGCTTACTTTCATGGGTAAATTGCATGTTCCTGAGGTTTGATATACAAATGATTTCACTACCCAGGTAGTTAGCACAGTACTCCATAGGTGGTAGCTTTCAACCCTCACTCTCCTCCTAACCTCCAGCCTCAAGTAGGCCCTGGTGACTATTGTTTCCCTCTTTGCATCCATGTGTACTTAATGTTTAGCACCACTTGTAAGTGAAGGCATGCAGCATTTGTTTTTCTGTTGCTGCATTAATTTGCTTAGGATAATGACCTCCAGTTCAATCCATGTTGCTGCAAATAACATTGTTTTATTTATTATGGCTACATAGTATTTCAAAGTATGTATGTACCATATTTTCTTTATCCAGTCCACCCTTGATGGACATCTAGGTCCTATATATTTGTTATTGTGAATATTGCTATAGTGAACATACAAATACATATATCATTTGAGTAGAATAATTCGCATTTCTCTGGGTATATACCCAATCATGGGATTGCTGGGTCAAATGCTAGCTCTGTTTTAAGTTCTTTGAGAAATCTCTGAATCGTATTCCCCAGTGGAAGAACTAATTTACATACTCAACAGCAGTGTACAAGTGTTCCCTTTTCTCTACAACCTAATGAACATCCATTTTGTTATGGCATGGGTTAGGAAGGAGTCCCTCCTCCTCAATTTTTGGAATAATTTCAGTAGGATTGGTACCTGCTCTTTTTTATACATCTGATAGAAATTGACTGTGAATCTCTCTGGTCCAGTTTTTATTTTAGATTGTAGGATTTTTATTAATAATTTAATGTTTGCCATGTTATCGGTCTATTTAGGATTTCTCCTGGTTTAATGTTGCGAGGTTGTGTATTTCCAGGAATCTATCCTTTTCCCTTTTTCTTTTTTTTTTTTTTTTTTTTTTTTTTTTAGTTTTCTAGTTTGTATGAGAAGAGGTGCTCCTAATAGTCTCTGAGGCTTTTTTGGTTTTCTCTGGGGTTGGTGTCATTTGTCATTTCCTATTGTGTTTATTTGGATCTTCCCTTTTTTTTTTTTTAATTAATCTAGCTAGTTGTCTATCAGTCTTATTTAATATTTCAGGGCCAGGTGCGTTGGCTCATGCCTGTAATCTCAGCACTTTGGGAGGCCGAGGCAGGCAGATCACAAAGTCAGAAGTTTGAGACCAGCCTGACCAATATGGTGAAACCCCATCTCTACTAAAAATACAAAAACTAGACGGGTGTGGTGGCACACGTCTATACTCCCAGCTACTCAGGAGACTGAGGCAGGAGAATTGCTTGAACCCAGGAGGCAGAGCTTACACTGAGCCGAGATCAGGCCACTGCACTCCAGCCTGGGCAACAGAGCAAAACTCCGTCTCAAAAAAAAAAAAAGAAAAAAGGATTTCAATTTATTTCTGGTTTAATGTTGGGAGGTTGTAGATTTCCAGGAATCCATCTGGTTTTTCTGTTTGTTTGTTTGTTTGTTTTGGTTTTCTAGTTTGTGTGAAAAGAGGTGCCCATAATAGTCTCTGAAATGATTACGACTGAACAATTTTCATTACTATTCTCTGACACAAAGACTGTATGTACTTCTGTCTGTGCAAGCTGTCAGAGGTGACTCCTCTCAGATGAGGAAATAGATTATTCATGGTCTTGTAGGCCATTGGAAAGACTTGATATTGCTATAAGGCACATGGAAAGACACTGAGTGGCAGCATGATCTATTTTTTAAAAATTATTTTGAAAAGATTTCTCTAGCTACTGTTTTGAGAAGATTCCATTAGGCAGACTTGTTCAGAACTAGAAAGATGTATCAGGAGGCTGCTGCAGTTATTGAGGCAAGACGTGGTGGTGCAAACCACTGGGAATATAGAAGGTGATAAGAAGGGATCTCTTAGTCAGTTTAGAATGGCAGAATAACAAAGATAGTAACTGAAGAACAGAACTTTATTTCTCACATTTCTGAAGGCTGGGAAGTCTGAGATCAGGGTGCCAGCATAACTGAGTTCTGATGAGGGCCTCTTTCTGCTTTGGAAATGGCTATCTTCTCACTGTGTCCTCATATGGCATAGAGAGAGGGCGAGAATCTCTCATTTCTCTTATTATTAGGGTGCTCTACTCTTGTGACCAAGTATCCTAAAAGGCCCCATCTCCAATTATCATCACACTGGAGATTTGTGTTTCAACATAAAAATTTGGAGGGGGGAACACAAACCTGCCATTCAGAAGCGGGTAATATTTTAATAGTAGGGCTAAAGGAATAGCTTAAGGATGTAGATGTGAGCTATAAGAGAAAGGATGAATCAATAAATTTTGTTAAAAGAAAATTGGAAATTAAAACATCTACAACTACTACATCTCACATTGATACAGTCACTTCTGTTGGTCATAAAATTCCTCTTTGCCTCCACAAAGTTCAATATTTTAGCTGGCTCCTGGAAATGCTACCTTTGCAAATGTACTACCGCCCACCCTCCCAGTTAGCCTATGCTATTCACATGGAAATAAAGAATAGCTCACCATCGTGGCCATCTGAGAACAGTGTCTGGCTTCCTATAAATCAGTTAACGATATTAATTTAGAAATAACAACCCTGATTATACTCCTCTAACAATCGAATGTTGTAACCAAGTTAGAAAATCATGCTTTACTAGTGTAGTGATAATACTGTTACAGGATATTAGACCTTTGTCAGATGGGTAGATTGCAAAAATGCACAAGAAAAAAATTTAAAAACCCATCAAAATGTGAGCAAAGAATATGAATAGACACTTCTCAAAAGACAACATTTATGTGGCCAACAAACAAACACACAAGCTCAACATCACTGATCATTAGAGAAATGCACATCAAAACCACAATGAGGTACCATCTCACACCAGTCAGAATGGTGATTATTAAAAGGTCAAGAAACAAGAGATGCTTGTGAGACTGTGGAGAAATAGGAACGCTTTTACACTGTTGATGGGAAAGTAAATTATTTCAATCATTGTGGGAGACAGTATGACAATTCCTCAAGGATCTAGAACCAGAAATACCATTTGACCCAGCAATCCCATTACTGAGTATATACCCAGAGGAATATAAATCATTCTACTGTAAAGACACATGCATAGGTATGTTTATTACAACACTATTTACAATAGCAAAGTCATGGAACCAAACCAAATGCCCATCAATGTCAGACTGGATAAAGAAAATGTGGTACCTATACACCATGGAATACCACACAGCCATAAAAAGGAATGAGATCATGTCCTTTGCAGGGACATGGATGAAGCAGGAGGCCATCATCCTCAGCAAACTAACACAGGAACAGAAAACCAAACACCGAAATGATCTCACTTGTAAGTGGGAGCTGCCAGTGAGAACACATGAACACAGTGAGGGGAGCAACACATACCAAGGCCTGTTGGGAGTTGGGGGGCGAGGGGAGAGAACTGAGAGGATGAGTCAATAGTTGCAGCAAACCACCATGGAACACATATACCTATGTAGCAAACCTGCATTTTCTGCACATGTATCCTGGAACTTAAAGTAAAATTAAAAAATAAATAATAAATAATAAAAAGAAGTAAAGAAAATGTGGCTTATATACACCTTGGAATACTACTCAGTCATCAAAAGGAATGAAATAATGTCTTTGGCAGCAACTTGGATGGAACTGGAGATCATTATTCTAAGAGAAGTAACTCAGGAATGGGAAACTAAATATTGTACATTCTCACTTATAAGAAAGAGCTAAACTATGAGGATGCAATGGCACAACAGCGGTATAATGGACTCTGGGGACTCGGGGGAATGGTTGGAAGGGGAGTGAGGGTGAGACTACATGTGGGGTACAGTGTACATTGCTTGGGTGACAGGTGCACTAAAATCTCATAAATCACCACTAAAGAACCTCTCCATGTAACCCAAACCACCTATACCCCCAGAAACTCTTGAAAAAAAAATCACTAAAAAAAAGTTATAGGGCTGACAAGTTCCAATTTGTATAGGAAAAAAGATGAGTATGCTTTTTATGATAAAAATGTTTTTAAGTAAAGAAAAAAGCTATTTTAATTCCATGTACTTATAAACATTATATAGTTCTTTGATTAATCAATTTTCTCTTTTCTTTCTGCTGTTTTTTAGTTCTTCTCGACAGTCCTGTCATTCAGCTATGTTGCTAAAGCACTAAGTGGAATTTTTATGAAAATATCCACCACTCAAATAGAAAGGAGATTTGAAATATCCTCTTCTTTTGCTGGTTTAATTGATGGAAGCTTCGAAATAGGTAGCTTTTGTTTTTCTATTTTAATAACCATATCTGCATATGCTTAAAAAACAAACTGTTTTTAACACTTGGCTCTCAGCCAAGTGTAAATTTGTCCCTCATGAGCAATTTGGCAATATCTGAAGACATTTTTAGTTGCCATAAATAAGCTGAGGAAGGGAGGATGCTACTGGTACCTAGGGGTAGAGGCCAGGGATGCTGCTAAACATTGTGTAACGCACAGGACAGACTTACCAACAAAGAACAATCCTTCCCAAAATGTCTATAGTGATGATGTTGAAAAACTCTAATCCTACACAAACTCATTGTTTGCAAATTAATGCCTTGTGAAGCTTTACCTCTCTTGTCTCAAGGTGTCCCAGTGTGAAGAAAGGCTGAGGGAGGACTATAATTCTTATGGTTTTAGGAGGGAGGGACTGTAAAGGAGCAACCTACACTAGATTCTACTGTTTAATGGGGTACACAATCGAGGGGTTAAAGTCTTTTTTGGGGGAACATTGAAGATATTGCTTTGTTGCTTTCACTTTAATTTGTATTTCTGCAACAATTGAAATGTTTTAATGTATTGCTAGCTCATTGTCTCTGCTACTTTTCCCTCTTCTTTTTACTTTCTAATTATTTAGAAGGACCTCCAAATCGTCTATTATATAAACTGCAAATATTTTATACAATTTTTGTTTCCAACTTAACTGTATTTGCAATATGCTTAATTAAATAATATTTAAAAAGTAATTGTCAAAGGAAGACATCTCTTTAAATCAATTCAAAATATTTGTGATCCCAACATATTACACTCTACATGTCCTTCACTCTTTCACCTCTCAGGCTCAATGAAATTATCAAGGATTTTAGAATTAGAATGTTATTAGTTTTAAAGTTTAATTCACTGAATGTCTCCTTTTGTTAACTTGCAGCTGTTTAACAGCAGTTATTTGAACATCATTATCAGTTTGGTTTCTTTGCTTACCTCTGTTTCTTGAATCTTGTGACTTCAAATCTCATCTTTAGTCTTTCTGGAATATATCTTCATGTATAGATGACCTTCTGTATGCACAGAAGGATGTATACCACATCCATGGATTCAACCAACTGTGGATGCAAGATATATTCAAAAAATATAAAAATGAAAAAGTAGCAATACAATTGTAAAAATAATACAAATAAAATCAATACAGAATAACAACTGTTTACATAGTATTTACGTTGTATTAAGTATTAGACATTATCTAGATATGATATAAAGTACACAAGAGGGTATGGATAGATTATATGCAATATTACACCGTTTTACTTAACGGACTTGAACATCCACAGATCTTGGTATCTACAGAGCATCCTAGAAGCAATAACCCATGGACAGTAAGGGATGACTGTAATTATGTTTTTAGGAAGAATTTAAAATATAGCATATTTTCTAAGCCATTGCCTTTTGGAAAATGTGAGTATTTGACTGTCATATTTAAGTTATAATTTGTCTGGATATGGAATTAATCATTCAAAATTCCTTTTTCTCAAAACTTTCATCTGAAAGCTTAAGTCTTCCGCTAACACAGGGAATATTTTTTTTTTAAGACGAAATCTCGCTCTGTCTCCCAGGCTGGAGTGCAGTGGTGCAATCTCGGCTCACTGCAAGCTCGGCCTCCTGGATTCAGCCATTCTCCTGACTCAGCTTCCTGAGTAGCTGGGTCTACAGGCGCCCGCCGCCACACCCAGCTAATTTTTTTTGTTTTGTTTTGTTTTGTTTTTGTATTTTTAGTAGAGACGTGGTTTCACCGTGGTCTCGACCTCCTGACCTCGTGATCCACCCGCCTCGGTGTCCCAATATTTTCTTTCCTTTCTTTTTTTTGTGGGGGGAGGGGGAAAAACAGTTTTTTGCTCTTGCTACCCAGGCTGCAGTGAAATGGCATGATCTCTGGCTCACTGCAACCTCGGTCTCCGGGGTTCAAGACATTCTCCTGCTTCAGTCTCCCTGTTTTGTTTCTTTACTACTATTATTAATAACGCAAAGACTAAATATCAATAAAGGCCAAAACGAGTGAAGAAAGCGGCAGCCTTTTTATTTGCAAATATGCACGCACTCTCGCTGGTCCGCGGGAAAGGGGCCAGGGAAGTTGGCCCGCCTCTGCCAGCAGCTGACTTTCATGTTTTGGCACTGGAAGGTGAAGAGCAGTGGGCGGGATAGGGGCGTGACAGGCGCGTCTCCGTAGGCGTGACCAGGTAAGTTTCGATTTCTCCGGATTGACGTCACCTTGCGCATGCTCAGTTGATCTGTATTTTCCCGGGCGCCGGCTGCGTTTTCCTGGGCGCGGGTAAATTGGTGATGAAGAACCCGGAAGCAACAGGGACTGTTCCTTCTTGTTCACCTTCCTCCATCTTGTCCCTTCTCCCTCACCCAAACATCCCAAAAGCTGGGATTAGCGTGGCTACTTTTGTATTTTTAATAGAGACAGGGTTTCCCCCATGTTGTCCAGGGTGGTTTCGAACTCCTGACCTCAGGTTATCCACCCGCCTTGGCCTCCAAAAGTGGGATTCCAGGCATTAGTCATCTCACCCGGTCAGCCAGTTTATTTTCTGTTTTCTATTTTTTTTTTCTATTTTATTCTGTAACATATATGATATAAATAATATCTTTCCTGGCTCTTTTTGCTTTTAAATTTTTTTCTTCTAAATTTCTATCTATTTTCCTTATGTTTCATCAATCTTCTCTGATGCCATCTTATATCAAGTTCTAATATGTAAATTTTTAATAGTATTTTAAATTTATAACAATACTTTATCATTCTTTTATTACTTTTAGTCTGCCATTCTGATTTTATGGATGCAACACTACTTTGCACCTCTAAATATGCTAACAGGATTTTAAAAAAAAGTTTTTACTGTTTTTAGTTTAATCTTAGTTTAAGTACTTATTCTTATGTTGCTTTATCTGCTGGTCTGTTTTGATGCTTTTCTTTCATACTATTATTTTCCATCAATGTTCAACAATCATTGTTGTCTGTTAATTGTTATGTATCAGACTACAGATAAATCTGAATTGATCTGCTCTGATTTCTCTTCTTCCAATTTTTAACCTAAATAATTTATACTTAAGATTAAATCTCAAATGACGTCTCCTCCAGGAAATTTTCACAAAGCCCCTAATTTAAGCTATTTCCGTAACCTAATAGCACTTCTATTCGTCTGTTTTATTTTCTTACTAATGTGTTTCTAGAGAACAGGTACCATGGTTTATCCTTTTTTTATATTTCTGTCTCTGAGCACCGTGGTAGGTATATAGTATGAATTTAAAGAATACTGGAAATAAATTTTAATAATGCATGAACGATGATCAAAAGATTTCTCAGATTAGGAAGATATTTTTTCCGTCCCAATGCAATGCAGTAAACTCCAAACTTTCAATAACAGTTTGCTTCTCTCATATTGCCAAATTATCTAAGTGTTTTGTTTGCATATAAAACGTATTCTGCTTATCATTAGTACTATACAAATTTCAATTAGTGTCTTAATGCGGGAGAGTTCATCTTCACAATTAAATTTCATGGTCTTTGAGGGAAGATATGATGTCTTAGGCTTTATTTGCACTCATTCTGGGGCATTCAGTTCTACCAGATACAAAATTGAACTAAGTCATGTCAACATAATTTTGTTCTCTTTCTAGGAAATTTGCTTGTGATTGTATTTGTAAGTTACTTTGGATCTAAACTACACAGACCGAAGTTAATTGGAATTGGTTGTTTCCTTATGGGAACTGGAAGTATTTTGATGGCTTTACCACATTTCTTCATGGGATAGTAAGTGTTAAACAGCACTGAGCCATTCATTATCAGCAACTTATAAATTAGCAGTAGAATTTTATTTTTATCCTTTAAATAGTCAGTTATCTTTTGAGAGTATTCACTAAATATGTCTAGAAATGGAGCATATTTCCTTTGTATGATACTTAATGTATTGCTTTATTCATCATGGCTTTCATAGACTTTGAAATAAGAATAATATTACATAAGGTGTACAGTTTCAAATGAAACAAATAAGCTATTTATTACTTTTTAGTATAACACGTGTACTTCATGTCTTTGCCTGTAAGATTTTAATTATACTCAGTAAGACTTCACAGCTTCACCCTGTGCATATAGATTTTCCCAACAGCATTTCACCGAAGTTGTTCTTTCTAAGGTAACTGGGTAGCTATGATTAGAGTAAGGTGTTCATAAGAGAAAATTGGAAATAGCAAAAAAATAAGACAGAAGCTTATTTTTTACATAAAAGTTAATGTAGCTAGTCGAAGAATGGTATCTTTTCATCATAGTGCTATGCGTTGCACGGCCTTGGCCTCATGGTACAAATTGTGGCAATGTATTTTCTGGCAGCAGGATAGAAGAAGGGAAGAAAAACAAGGAGAAGAATAAAGAATGCACACAGACTGAGGCTTAAGGAGCATTTTCAGAAGCAAAACGTTTCCATTGGCTTCACATTTACCAGAAATTAGTTACATTTTACACATAGATATATAGATGTTGGGGGGAAAAAAGACTTTATTCCAGGACGCAATGTTTCCAGCTAAAAATCCCAACTTGTGTTACTGTGGAAGGAGAGAAATAAAGGATACCGAAAGACAATGAGCAGTCCCTGTGAGAGACGCCATTTACTTACTCATTGCCATATCCAGCAATCATGCCTTTTGGTCATCATATTAATTCTGTTCTTTTGCTACGTTTGACCCTTATAAGAACTTTCTTCTTAATGGTACTACTCTAGTACTCATCATATTCCATAATCTTGATTCATTTTTCTACCTTTGTGGCCTCTTCATCATGTCCGTCCTTTTCCTCTACTTCTGACGCCGTAATTTCAGTGTCCCATAATTCCCTCTAATCTTCTTACTATCTTATTCTTCGTGATTTTTATGGAGAACATGCCTCAGATGTAACCACCACAGCTTCATCGTCCACTTCTCCCCACATTTGAGGACCACATTGTAGGCTTACAGTTCTCTAAATGTGCCATAGTATGTCATCTCTTTGCACCTGTTGTTTCTACAGCCTTGAATACTTTTCTTCCTTCATCTACCAGTGAAACTTCTATCCATCTTCAGTATTCATTTTATCTGTCACTCACATTACGAAATCTTCTTTGATCTACCCACCACCTCCAAGCAAAGCTGATCATCTCTTGTGTGTGTGTATGTGACAACTAGGGACCTTGCACATTAAACTTACTGTGTCTTTGATCATATGCTTTTATCTCAGAGAGTGTGAAATCTCTAAAGTACGAAAACTGAACTTTAGTTCGCTGAAGCTGAACATAATACCTGGCACACTATATGCTGCCCTCAGAACTCACAGGGCTCCTTAGTGCTTTTGGATATCAGCATCTGTCCCTAATTCAGCACCATCTCTTTTGTTGTTATTAACTTCTTCCTCATAAAGTTAAAATAGGTTAGAAAGTTTTAATTGACTTTTGAAGAGTCAAGCATTAGTGTGTGTGTGTGTCCATGAAAGAAAATCAGACGGACTTACTGTTTGACGATAACTCTAAGGGATAAATAGATATAGTTAACAGATTTGAAAAAACAGGTGAAACAGGATATTTTACATCTTGACCAGAATATAAGCACTCCTAGGATTATAGAAAAGTGATAACCCACTTTATCCATGGTATGTTGAATTATCTTTCTTAGTGAATGCTCCCATTTCCCCACCCCCATCACATCTTCTGACATACATGCTGGGAAATTGACAAAGAGAAGTATGGTAATTCGAAGACAGTGTCATTAAAGGGGAAATTTTTTCTGCATTTTCGGGAAAGGTGAAAATATTATATTCTGCAGATAAGCAAAATGTTCAATCCAGTGTTACTCTTATAGTTGCAGGTATTCTAAAGAAACCAATATTGATCCATCAGAAAATTCAACATCAAACTTACCAAACTGTTTAAGTAATCAAATGCTATCACTCAATAGAACACCAGCTGAGATAGTAGAAAGAGGTAAGAATTAATACTGACAATTAAAAAGTATAAAATTTATATATTTAATCACTTCTAAAAATGTGATTTTTTAGCAAAATTGTTTTAAGAACAAATAGGAAAAATATTTAACCCTTACATACAGGCAGAATCATACTGTTAATATACACAGTTGACCCATGAACCACGCAGATTGTAGCTGCATCCGTTCACTTATATGTGGCTTTCGTCCAACCAAAAAGGAGAAACTCGCCCATATGGAGATCTTACTTCTATAGGTAGTTTCCACAGGGCCAACTAGAGAAAATAAGTATGCATGAATTTGGATACACATGAGTTGTCCTGGAAAAAACATCCTACTATATATGTCAAGGGATGACTGTAATATATATGAAGGATATTTATAGGTAGATGAGAAAAGAGAACAAATTTAGTAGGTAACTGGCAACAAACATATACATTTACAATTTAAAAAGCAGGAAGTGGAAGAAATATGTGAATAATGTAACTTTGCTCTTCATAAAAAATGCAAAATATTATAGCATTTGAAGATTTTGTGCCTGTTATAACACAAATAATAAATTACAATTATAACCCAAAAGTTTTATGAAAAGAAATGGAAAAATGGAAAGGAGGAAATATAAAATTTCACATTTTATATGCTTCTGGAAGTGTGTAAATTTGTAACTTTTTTGGGAGATTAATTTTCAATATATATTAAAGAACAAAAATATACTTACCTACTTTCTTGATAAATCTTAAGAAAATAATCAGGAATGTGCACAAGGACTTATTTATAATTATAGCCATGACATCTGTGTTTGACAATAAAAAAATGGAAATATTTTGAAACTAAAAAAGAAGAGATTGTTTAAACAAATTAGGAAACTGTTATTCAGCACACTGCTATACAGTTATTAACATTTTCACATGGAAGAAATCTTAACAACATGGGGAAATTGTGATAATATAGTGATAATTATGTATGCAGCTTAAAAAAAAACCTAGATATTTAATTATATATTGTACACAATGAATATTACTCATATTTTATGCACCAGAAATGTAGAAGAGCTAGAGTAACATTTGAAATGATCTTCTGTGTTTAGTGTGATTATAAGTATTTTTTGCATGTTTTCTTTGTGCCCTTCCTTATTTTCAAACTTTGCAAAGTGAATATGAATCACTTGTAATTAGGAAAAAAAATAGAATAGCAAAGGGTTTAAAGTAGTTAAATTTCTAATAGGAATGTTAAAAATAATGTTTAAAATAAAACACTCTCTTGTCTCGATAGGTTGTGTGAAGGAATGTGGGTCACACATGTGGATCTATGTCTTCCTGGGTAATGTGCTTCGTGGCATAGGAGAATCCCCCATAGTACCACTGGGGATTTCTTACATTGATGATTTTGCAAAAAAAGGACATTCTTCCTTGTACATAGGTAATAAACAGAAAATATTAAATAGCATGGTTAATTCCTAGGTCTACCTTTGAAATAATAGTGTCATTAATTTTATTCTTTATTAGAAAAATATTTGGAGAAATGTATTGTGTAATATTACTTTTTAAAACATGTTGAATAAAGACCAAGTGTTTGTGGTATCTGATTAAATTGTTTTGTAATACCTGCAGGTATTGTGAATGCAATGGGAATGATTGGTCTAGTTTTTGGCTTTATGCTGGGATCTCTGTTTGCTAAAATGTATGTGGATATCGGATATGTGGATCTGAGTAAGTACAATCGGAACAAGGTACCATGATAGTGCCTTTTAAGTGCAGGACACCATTCTTCCAAATAATTAAATTTACTTTTTCAGTAGTGCTTTGCTTGCTATTTCCCAAAAGTTACAAGTAGGAAATAAATGCATTAATAATCAGAATAGAAATGAAATTCAGCTCTTTTTTATACTTTGCTTATAAAACTACATGTAAAAAGAGATTTTTAACGAACTTATTTTAGGTTACTTAAAATGTCCCTCTCCGAAAAGTGACTACCAAGTCCAGTACATTTTATTTTTCAGTTGATGGTGACTTGGTTGATGTGTAGGGCTCCGAGTTTGCTTTGCTAACATCTCTTTGTGGCTGCTTCATTGGCTTATGGCGGGGGTGGTTTAAGAGGCACCACAGTGCATTTTGGTTATGGTCATTTTTACTGGTGTTTGCTGAGGACTTGGCACATGGCAACATTTAATGAGTGCTTGTAGAACAAATGAATGAAGGATAGGACATGTAAATAAAATTTATGACTTTTCTCTTCACTCCCTTCACTCTCTTTCTCCTCTCATAGAAGAATGACAGGCCATGTTATAACATCTGCCTCAACTTCATGCCCTCCTTCCTACAGATGTACCTGTACTGTATCAACATTTTTCTTGTTTTACCCATACTTATGAAAAAGTATTTATCTTTAGCTAATATTAATTGATCCAACTGGGGTTTAGATTTCATCTTTCTGCCTCTTCTTCATCTGCACCCTCTCTTTTCCTCAGCAAACCCTCTCAAGTCTCTCCCATCTATTTACATATGTACATTTTTTATATCCCCAAATGACCTTCCAGTTGATTAACTGTTTCTCAATTCATCTTCAAAGCCAAGTACCTAGAAAAACATCATCTAAGTGCCTCATCATCTCATCTCCCATGTACTTCTCATCTAATATAATCTGCCTCTACCACTAATGAAACACAAAAAAGTTCTATGTAATTTACTAATTATAATGGATATCTTTCTGTAATTTGTTTAAATATATATTTCTACTATTTATTCGTTTTTTTTCTTAGATTTTTTTTGAAAAATAGCTACCTAAAACCCTGTCAAATGCTGGTCTCATCATCTTATTTCCAAACCCACTTTGTTCCCTATATTCCCTCTCTTGCTGAGTATCTGTACCTTAATTCAATGACTGACTGAATTTCTGTGCCCTGTAATCCCACACTCTCCTTTATTTAAAATTGGAAAAACTTTTCTCTCTTTTATTTTCATAGTTCTTAAAGTCTCTTTCAACATGTGGCTTTTCTCCCATAACTCTTACTTAATCATTTTCCATTGGTCTCAAATTTGGTGCCCCTATTAATGACCAAGAGCATGTCTTTATTGTAGCCCTTCTCACAACAATCTGTAAATATGTGTGTACTTACCCACCATCTCTTTGAGAATGACATGACAGAATGGTTTCTGTCTTAACAAATAGTAACTGATTAGTGTTTGTGAATAAACGAATATGATTTTCTATCTCACCAGGACTTAAATAAATCACTCCAGTGAGACCAAAGGATTCATTCTGAGAGGAATAGACATCACAGTAGGCCAACCAATTTGAAAGTGCTTTCTAATATAAAATAAAAGCAAATACTTGATGATGATTTATGTCTTCCATTTTAGAAATGTGACTTAATGTAGCTACACATTATGTATACTATATTTAGTCATTTGATTCCAGTTTCATAATCGCTTTTATCACTGAGTACAAAATAAGTGGTGAAGGGCTTTAGGTCTTTTTTTTTTTTTTTTTTTGAGATGGAGTCTCGCTCTGCCGCCCAGGCTGGAGTGCAGTGGCCAGATCTCAGCTCGCTGCAAGCTCCACCTCCCGGGTTTACGCCATTCTCCTGCCTCAGCCTCCCAAGTAGCTGGGACTACAGGCGCCCGCCACTTCGCCCGGCTAGTTTTTTGTATTTTTTAGTAGAGACAGGGTTTCACCAGATTAACCAGGATGGTCTCAATCTCCTGACCTTGTGATCCGCCCGTCTCGGCCTCCCAAAGTGCTGGGATTACAGGCTTGAGCCACCGCGCCCGGCCGGCTTTAGGTCTTTAGGATAGTAGTTTCGCAGTCTCTCTACTCTATTCAGAAATAATTACAGCATTTTACAATTCATGGTTATTCAATTTCTACTCCTGACTGTTCAAATATTATCACATCTTCTCTACTCAGTTGAGAAGCATGAAGTGAACTTATTGTAAAGTATACTTTGGCAAACTTCAATTGCTGCACAAGCCAAAGAGATAACACAACAAGTAAAGAGGGTCAAAGATCGGAAAATAGGGTTTGATGGTTAGAATGGGAAGGGTTTTGTTGGTAAACTGCTCTCGCCACACAGCCAAAAGCTCGGGTGCTGCCCAGCTCTGGCCTGTACTTTTTATGTGAAATTTTGAACCCAACATTGAAAAGACCTTCTGGTTGGTTTTCTAGAATATCCAGAAACTAAGATTTTTTTCATTTTTGTAGAATTTTCCAACTTTTAAGATGGTATGTTACCAAGGGAAGCACTATCAGACAATATCAAGCTAGGTTATGTTCTTTAGTTCCTATATAAAGACCAGTGAAAGAACCAAAAAAGTCCTCAAAATTACATTTCTGGTAGGTGATAAATAATACTTAGCATGTATATGGAGTTACTGATTTAACAAATCATTTCCTGACTTCAGTCTGTGTTGTTGATTATAAAACAATATGATCACACAAATCAATTTTAAAGACAGATTCATCTGTACTGGAAAATAATTTATTTCTAAATAGTTTTAAATCAAGTCAATATTTTCTTATGTCAATGAGTTTCCTTATAGATCGGAGTAATGGCATAATTTAATTGTGCTTCAAAGTTCTATGGTGTGTGTTTTTCCAGGTGTGTGTTTTCTCAATTCTTATTGTTTTATTGTGGTAAGAACAACTGAAATAAAATTTACCTTCTTAACAGATTTTTAAAAGTACAGTTGACCTTTGAACAGCACAGGTTTAAACTGTGCAGATCCACTTATACATAGATCTTTCAATAAATGTATTGAAAACATTTTTTGAGATTTGTGACAATATGAAGAAACCTGCAGATAAACAACACAGCTTAGAAATTAGAAAATGTTAAGATACAGATATATCATGAATAAATAAAATATATATAGATGCTAAACTATTTTATAATTTGCTACAACAAAATATGCACAAATCTATTATTAAAAGTTTAAATTTGTCAAACTTTACACAGAAAAACTCTTATAGATTTTCCATGATGCCATTTGCAGTCAAGAGAAATGCAACCAAATGTAAGGATATAGTATTAAGTCATAACTGAATAAAATTAACTGTAGTGCATATTTTACTGCTGTAAAAATTCTCTAACCATCTCCTGTTGTTATTGCAGTAAGCTCAAGTGTTGAGAGTATGTACTTAAAAATGCCACGTGTCATTCATCATCTCCATGTGAGTGGTTTTCATCACTCTCCAGTAAGTGATGAATCACTTTAAAAAGTGAACTCCTGGGGTTCCTGTGTAGTTTTCATTTTGTTTAGTGCAATGCCATAAACCTTAAATAACACTGTATGAGCTGTATGAAGTGCCACTAGTGATGCTGGAAGTGCTCCCAGAAGCACAGAAACGTCATGACATTACAAGAAAAAACCAAATTGTTTAATATGTACTATAGTTTGAGCTCTGCAGCTGGCCACTGTTTCAATATAAATGTACCAGTAGAAGGACTGTTGTAAACACACACACACACACACACACACACAGAGAGAGAGAGAGAGAGAGAGAGAAATGGAGCAACATGAAGCCTCACTGCAGCTACACCAGTGGGCAAAAAACTTGTGCTTTTAGTGAAATAGTTTTTATCTCATGTTGAAAATGCAGCTTTTATGTAGGTACAACATTGCTATTAAATTAAAGACATGGAATCATCCCAAATGCAGATCAAGGATAGACTGGATAAAGAAAATGTGCTACGTATACACCACAGAATACTCTGCAGCCATAAAAAGGAATGAGATCATTTCCTTTGCAGGGACATGGATGAAGCTGGAAGGTTTTATCCTCAGCAAACTAACAGGAATGGAAAACCAAAAACTACATGTTCTCACTCATAAATGGGCACTGAAAAATGAGAATATGTGGACACAGGGAGGGGAACAACACATACTGAGGCCTGTCAAGGAGTGAGCACAGCAGGAGGGAGAGCATCAGAAAAAATAACTAATGCATGCTGGGATTAATACCTTGGAGATGGTTTGATAGGTGCAGCAGACTACCCTGGCACATGTTTACCTATATAACAAATCTGCACATCCTGCACATGTATCCTGGAACTTAAATTAAATTAAAAAATTTTTAAAAGCTTACCTGTAAGACTTAAACACAATTTGAGAAAAAGTGAAGTCATTATATGACGACTTAAAGCAACAGGAAAGTGAAGGATTTAAAGCTGGAGAATTTAATGTCACTAAAGGATAATGTGAAAATTTTAGAAAGAGATTTGTCTCAGAAAAGCATCAAGATAACTGGAGAAGCAGCTTCTGCGAATCAGGAGGTAACGGAAATGTTCTAGATAGCATTAAGAAAATCACTGACAAGTTGGATTCCTAGGTATTTTATTCTCTTTGAAGCAATTGTGAATGGAAGTTCATTCCTGATTTGGCTCTCTGTTTGTCTGTTACTGGTGTATAAGAATGCTTGTGATTTTTGCACATTAATTTTGTATCCTGAGACTTTGCTGAAGTTGCTTATCAGCTTAAGGAGATTTTGGGCTGAGACAATGGGGTTTTCTAAATATATAATCATGTCATCTGCAAAGAGGGACAATTTGACTTCTTCTTTTCCTAACTGAATCCCCTTGATTTCTTTCTCTTGCCTGATTGCCCTAGCCAGAACTTCCAACACTATGTTGAATAGGAGTGGTGAGAGAGGGCATCCCTGTCTTGTGCCAGTTTTCAAAGGGAATTTTTCCAGTTTTTGCCCATTCAGTATG